TGTTGCTTGGCTTCTTCTGGATTCTTTGCTTCTGCTGTGGCAGCATCCTTGGCTTCTTCTGGATTCTCTGCTTCTGCTGTGACAGCATCTTCTGCAGCTGCTGCTGGGGCTGTGGCAGCAGCTAAGCCGGCAGCGGCAGCTCTGGCCCAAACTTCATCGCCCGATGCTGCTTCTGGTGATGTCTCTTCAGCATCAATCATTTCTTGTAGTCTGATTCCAAATTCCTCGTCCGGATCCAGGACTGCCTCTCTACCGGTGGGATGCTGCTGGTGGAGTGCTGCTGCTTCTTCTGGCTCAGACTCAGACTCTTGCTTCATTTCTTCCTCGTGTTCCTCCTCCTTTACCTTTCTCAAAGCCATGGTAGCCATAGCACATGGACTTGGGCCAGGGCAGGAATCATCGGACTCAATTGGCTGTGGCTCAGGCTGGGGCTCTTGATGCTCTGGCTGTGGCTCAGTCGGTTGCTCTTGCTCTGGCTGTGGCTCAGTCGGTTGGTCTTGCAGTGGTTGCAGTTGCTGCGGCTCCGTTTTCACTGAAAGCTTCTCTTGCTGCGGCTCAGTCGGGCCCTGTGGGGCCTTCGCCGGAGCACTCAATGCACTGGTTGGCAAGTCCTGTGGGTCTTTGGAGAAAGCGCATGAAATCCTAGAAATGCCCAGAATTGATCCACTCCTCAATCGCAGTTGGATTCAGGTCCAGTCACAGTCAGTCACAGTCACAATTCCCGGTCCAGTCACAGTCACAGCTGCAACAGCGGTTCAAACAAAAACACTTCAAACTTTGAAATCTTGAACTTGACATTTGAACTTCAATCGAAGCATCTTCGGGTATGCCGATGCATAGAAGATAGATGCTGTCATTTGGTCCTCATGGAACAGCATTGATGGTGCTCGCAGGGTCAAATTGTCTGTGGAGCCGACACACTTCTCAACCATGATGAAGCCGAAGGGGATCCAAATGATATCACCTTCAATGACATAGCCCCACTTCAGGTGTTCAAACAAATCGTTTTTCCGTGCTTCATACTGAGCTTTGTCAATGTACTGCATCGAATTCACAGCTTCCTCCCAACACAGACGGTGGGGCATTCACAAAGTCATGGTCATGGTATTGCTAGATTGTCTACAGTCTAGTGACTAGAGTCTAGAGTAGTATAGTTGATTCAGTCAGTCCGATGTCGAATCTGGAATCTAATCCAGTCGAGTCCAGTCCAGGCGTCCAGTCCTGAAAAGTAAAGCTTAACTTCATTATGAAAGAACTTCAATACGCTAAGCTACTGCTACAGCCTACAGCTATAGGTGTTGTCGTTAGTCATTGTCATTTTGTAAGAGTCCTGAAGGAGGGCTGGAGCACACTCAGGAGTGACGGTGACATTTTTCTGGCCGCTCTCATCCACCACCACCTCCACCATGTCGAGGACATTCAGGTAAGCAACCAGTCTGGCACCCTTAACCTGGTAGCTCAAGGTTGGCATAGGCGAAGAGAAATGCCCAGAGAAGGTGCTCCCACACTTGGCAGCTGCCCATGTGAGGGAGTAATTCTTCATGGCAGATGCTGCATCTGTGTCTCCCTCTTGCTTCGCAGTGTTGGTTATCCTGAGTCGGTCACGGTCACAGTCACAGTCAGTCTTTGTACCAGTTCAGTCATTTGGTAGTTAGTAGTTAGTAAGTATAGTAAGTAGTAGTAAGTATAATTAGTATATAGTATATATAGGTAGTAGGCAATAGGTAGTGGTAGTAGGTAGTAGGTAGTAGGCGTAGGTAGTAGTAGTCATTGATCATCGTCGCCGTCATCATCATCATCATCATCAGCAGCAAACAGGTTCATCAAGGGCCAAGGCCAAGGCCAAGGGAAATCAAAAATAAACATATACAACTCGGCAGAGTCAAGCATCACCGTTGTGACATACTGCCGATCCAGGATCCCATGATTCAATGCCTGCATCTGGTGCGACATCATGACTTCTTCCACCGTGTGTGACAAGAAGTTGTCCAGGCCCAATGATGCTGCGGGACCAGGCAATGATGCACTCACGCGGTCTTTGCCAGAAGGATCTTTAAACTGCTGCCGGGCTTTGTCATAGAAATCGGTTGCATCAGCACTGATGTTCTTCTTCAATTGCTGAAGCGTTTTTGAATCAATGGATGGATCAGCTTCCAGCGCTTTGGCAAGAGGACCTTTCTTCAGCCTAACTCCACAAGGCACATCAGGATATAGGCAAACACGTCGGCCAAAATCCTGGAGATTGTCGGCGAAGACCATTGAACCGGCGGAAAATGTTGACATCTCACGCAATATGGTAGGATCATCTTCTGTCAATTCTGACTGGCCGCCAGTCCTGCGCCTTTTCTTCTGCTGCCCTAGTCCTAGCGGAGACGGAACCTCTTCCCCCGCTTGAGCCGCAGCCTTAGCTGCCTCCTCTGCATTCTTTTTTCGCTGCTTCTCAAGCTCCCTTTGCTGTTTCTCCGCAGCTTTCTGTTCAGCCAACTTCTTTGCTTTCTCTGCTTTCTCTTCTGCTTTGCGAATGGCTGTGGTTTCGTCCTTTTTCGCTTTGTGTAGAGCTTTGACATGGGCGTCCCAGCATTCTACCTCCTTCATCAAGCACTCTGCCAGAGGATGCTAATCGCAGTCCGCTGCTCTTCTGCGACCTTCATAACTTTCTCTCCGGTTGGTTGCCTCATGGTTGGTCCAAGTTGGGGATTGGTGCGAAAAAGTTGAATTTGGCAGCCAAACCCTAACCCGGCTTCCTATTACACCAAGTCACCAATTCAATGTTAAAAACTTGTTGAAATTTAGCAAAATTGCAAATCCATTTGGATATTGCGCAAATACTTGATGCGCCCCAAAGTCAACACAGCTGAGCAGTCAGCCAGAAGCGTGGCTTCACAATCCTTCAGGTAGGGGTCCTGCAAGGCAAGGTGATAGAATTCGCGGCAAGCTTCTTCTCCTTCAGCTCCTTGCTGATCATTCTGACCAAGCTGCACTAGCTTCAAGCGCGTCCGAATGACATCCAGAGTCGGGTCCTCTGCTGGGTCGTCTAGGCAAACAGAAGGAGCAACCTTTGTCAAAAGGTTGTTGGCGTCAGACTTGGCCTTCTCAAGAAGCCGTTCAGCCTCAGCGAGGCATTTGGCTGTTTTGGCACGCTGCTTCGCTGCAACTACCAAAGGAGCCGCCGCAGCTGTTGCAGAGGCGATTGCCCTTGAATTCCGTTTGCTAGCAACTCGGGTTTGTTGAGGCTGACTCTGACTGGCGCTGCTCCTGCTCCGGCTCGCTTCAAACGCGGCACCCATAACACTTGATGGTACCAAAGAGCATTCTTCCTCCAAGTTGAATCCCTTCCAGATTGTCGAAGCCTTCTGCACCTGTTCCTCAATCACCTTCTCGGAAGGATTTCGAGATTCATCGGTGAGATCCTGCCGCACTCCACGGTCCTCCAGGTCTCCAGGTGTTAGTTAGTTGGTGGTGTAGTCTAGATGTCTGGGTGCCTAGAGGCCTGGAGTCTATCTATCTTTACACTTGAACTCTGACTTGGAGTATGTTGCAGTATAAGTATACAGTGTAGTGTGCAGTGTACAGTGTACAGTGTACAGGATTATTAGTATGCTTGTTTTTAAATCCGTCCTTATACTTCTTGACATCTTCCGATTCAATGACAGGAATCCAAAGGCGCCACATCTTTCCGATACTATCTCCCTCGGCATTGTTGGCATCCACCTGGTCCCTCCTGATCTCCTTGCCGTCGAACAACTGGAGCCATTTTTTTGAAGCTGCTGATTCTGTGAGTCCTTAGAACTTAGTGTTGGTAGTTTTTAGTTTGACTGCTGAGACTCAGACTCAGACTGAGACTCTTTCAGTTTTCGAGTCTGACTCTGAGTCCACTTGACTTGAACTCTGAATTCTGAAGATTCACTAACACCATGAAATTGCAGGCAAGTCTCGCAAGTAGGAAGGGCAGTGATAAGTGCTATGCTTTCCGGTCATATACATCAAAAAGTCCTCACGGCACATTGGAACAGATCGCCTGAGTTCTTCGTCACGAATTCCACTTGAGCTGTACTTTGACAATCGCGTGAAGTCAAAGAGAGGTCGGCACTTCCCTTGCCCAACAGATGCGCACCTCAAAAATCACAAATGACAATGAGCATGCAGCATTGGTCATTGATCATTGACTCTGGCAGAATGGAAGCTTACAAACATACTAACACACACACACAACACAAAAAACAACTGACACTGACACTGACACCAGAAATGAATTAACCACTCAATGTCAATGACCATTACCAGATTGATTACCAATTACCAGATGTCCAATTTCCAATGCCTAGAAACTCTGTGGTAAAGTTATCAACATGGTCCGTGAACGCATCTGGATCATTGCGCTCCATGTCGGACAGCTGTTCGGCAAGCTTTTTGTCCTTCTTCTTGGCCTGCTTGTAGAGATTGTCACGTCCGCACCAATGGGAAGTGCAAAACTGGATGAGCCTGCAAGCTGGACGGAGGCTGAGGCGACCGATGAAAAATATTGAATGATTGAATAAAATAGAATCTGAATCTGAATCTGAAAAATATTCTTACTTATTACTTACTAGTCAGTTTGCACATTGCCAAATTGCACATGACATGTTCAGAGAATTCACCGACTCACAACCCAGTCCTCGCCTGTTTGGTTGCCTGATCACCATTTTAGGACATCGTTTAACCCCGCACTTCGTTTGATAGCTGCTCAATCCCAAGTCCCCGTTGCCATCCAATGAAGTTGGTGTAAAAGAAGCAACGGCGGGGTCCTGAGGAGTACATGGAGTTCTAGTCGTCGGAGTCCTTGTTGTTGCTTTGATAAACTCGTCGGCTACGGCCGGATTCCAAACCCTGTGCGATTTGGACGGTGAATATGGCACCAATGAGGAGGAGTCCGGGTCCGGGTTGTTCATTTTGCTAAGCATTCCACCTTCTCACTGAGACAATCAATCACCGCCGCCAGGGAACTGCGGCACGATGACGACGAGTCTCAAATCGACTGACTAGCAGCGGCTAGCAACCACCACCAAAACCGTTGAGCAAAATGCTTCAGTGGTGCTCAGTGTTGGCGTTTGACAAAACAAACATGGCCTGGCAAAAGGAGCAAAGACAGGGTGACAGGATGACTCGGTTCACTCGGCTATCATAATTCAAGAAGTCAAAAAGTATCCTGCCAAACCCAAGTGGCTTTCCGGTTCGGTTTTGCACCTCAGTCCGACCCTGGTCCCAGTTTCCTCTGTACTAGTACCTTGGCTTTAGGGCAATGGACGCCGGACGCCCTCAGTGACTCTATGACTGCTGCTGGTGCTGCTGCCTTCTACCAACTTCGACAACACAATCACGAATTGATAGAATAGAAGTGAAGCAACAGGAAACACACCCCAGCCCAGCAGCACTACCCGCAATAGAAACCCACTACAAAATGACTGGCTAGCTTTCCCATCCAGTCTCATCCAAACTCGATTCAATGGCTCAGAGATCCATCACCTCCTTCACGACCAAAGTGCTGAGCATGGCTGCAAGCAAACTTCCCACCACGGTGGCATGCATCGACTCAGTAAACAGTGAAATACATTAAACATTCAGGAGTTCTGAAAGTTACCACATCAGCCTGCAGCCTGTTCTGGACTTAGACTCGTGAGGAATCTTGATAACCTGCTGCTGCTCCACTGCTGCCGAGAAGCATTTCCCGCGAGCTTTTTTCGGACAGTTGCTGGCGGTACATAGTCAAACATTGGAGACAAATCCGCAGCAGAACCAGAGCTTGAGCTTGCGATGGCAAATTGAGGCAAACCCATTGCGTGCAAGTGTTCCTGAATCCGAATCCATCAAATTGAGCGATTGAAGTCACTGTTGTTGAACTGCCGCACACACACACACACACTGAGAGCTTCCTCACTCGCACCTTACACTTACAATCAGTCAAGTCTGACTGACTAATCATAACACTGAATCAACTCCAAAGGTCATTCTCTAGTAGCCACCTCTCTTCTGCACCGTCCTGGGAGACGTTAATGAGGAACATGGTGCCCTGACGTAACAAGGTTGGCAACCAGGAAGAGATGATCGGTCTTCGGCATGGATTTTGCTGCAGGTTGCATACCATTGCACCAGGCACACCGACTTAGTTTTGATATGGGACCACTGGACCGCTGGCTGACAAGTGATTAAGCAGACAGCCACAGAGTCACAGCCATCAAGTCAAAGCTTTAAACTTTACACCTGGCCTCGGCCTCGACCTATTGACTTGATGGCTGACGGCCTTAACTATTTTCACCTATCATCAGCACAATGCGTCACCTTCAGCAAGGCAGCAAGGCAAAAAACGCTGGGACAATAGCCAAGGGGCGCTTTTGGCACTTCAACTTGTACTTCTGAACTTTCTTGAGGCTCCGGTACTGCGATAGCCATGCCTTTTTGCCACCTTAGAATCAGCAAACCAAAAAAGGTTCGAGCCCAACGCCAAACAGAGTTGGACAACGGTTGTTCCTTGTTCACCACTGACCACTTGCCACTTATCATGCTTTTATGCCCAGATACCACCCAATAAATCAGCAAAGGTTGTCTTCAAGGACTTGTGCATCTTGTGAGCCGTTGCAGATCTCTCTGCTTCGACGACCTCCTGCAAAAAATGAATGCTAAATACTAAATACTAATTATATACATATTGCGGGCCCGACTAGACTGAGACTCGGATTTGTTTATTCAGTTTGCGCTCCTGCGGCGCACACCAGAAGGCATTCACTCCGATATTTGGTGCTCTGAACAGATTGCGAACTACTTGAACTCTAGGTGGCTTGAGGTAGCAAGAGCAGTTTAACGTCAGCAGGCAATAACTTCGTGGCCGGTGTGCCGGCCAGCCGAACATGTGCTGGCTGAGGTGCACAGGACGCCCATCCTCCTGACAACTTGAACTTGAAATGAGTAATCAAAGAATCTTGCAACTTGCCACTTCAAGAACATGTTTGTGTAAGTCACCAGTGGCCATGTGCTCCTCTTGCACTGTGGCATGGTATATTCATCTCCAAGGTATTTCTCAAACACATCCATGCAGAAGGACGGGGCACATTCATGGAGAATTATGTCCTGAGTCAGTCATTGACGAACCAAACTGAGCCACTGTTTCTTGCAAGCGGCATGTAAGAATTGCTTCCAAATTCAATAGATTATGTTTGTTGTTTTCTTACTTTCCTTTGTCAGCTGCTGCTGCTGAATAAAACACAACTGACCGAACCTGAGCCTCTGTACTCATCTTGCAACTTAGGGTCTTCCTTGCAAACCAGTCGCTCACAAAGCCAAATTGCTAGGGGGATTCCGCTAGCGCCCAACAGACCCATGCCAATGCCTAGGATGCCCGCCCATGCCGTGTCCCTTGCAATTCTTCCCCCCTCAAAACTGCTGCACTTAGACACCATAGCCGTAGCCTAGGCCCTAGGCTTGCTAGACTCCTTATTCCTTCCCACAGTATACAGTATACAGGAAAGAGGCCTATGGTGCTGTGATCCACGCATGTAGATCCAGCGCATGCGATTCGAATTGGTAGGATTGGGTCATCGCCTTTTGCCAAAGCATGCTGGTGTGCTTGAGCAATTCCCCAAGGCGTTAAGCACTCCTCGAACAAACATGAACAGAACATTGTTTCTGTGGACAACATTCAAAACAGTTTCTGTGAACAGCAACAGCAGAACCAAAATTCATTTGACTCATTCTAGTGCCCATCTATCATTGATTGCTGCTGCTGCTGCCAGCAACGCTTGACAGCTCTCTCATTTCCCTGGCACGGTACGGTTGCAGTGCAGTCCAAAGTGTCCACCCTGGACAAAAGTGACTACGCGGCCCTGGCCCTGTACTCTCTGCCTCTACAAAGCTTCAACCCACAAAGCGTTGCTGCAGGGTCGCAGGCTGCAGGGTGAAAAGCAACTAACTAAGAAAGCATTATATAGATACACTCACACACACTCACAGTGGATAAGTTCCAGCCCTGCTGCTGAACCTCCCAGAAGAGTCTGTACTGGTACTGGGAGATTTTAACTCAAGGCGAATTGGTTCCGGGCCAGTAACTCATGTTACTTGATGAGGTGGACGAAGATGAATCTGAATAAGAAGATAAAGCAGAATCGGGAGAAAGTGGTTCCGACTCACTACCGGATTCACATGGCAGGTTGTGATCATCAGCGTCGCCATTGTCAAAGTGCGCGACACAGTCTTCAGGCAAACGGGCACTGCCAAGCACCACATGAATTGTGGCTACCATCCGGCCGAACATCATCAAACAAGCAGTGATGAGCCCTCGCCTTGCCTCTATGCGGACAGTCCAAGGGCGCCAATTTAACAACCACATCATCATGGCCCAACAACAAAGCAAAACAGCAAAACAACTAAAGACACCGCCCGTCGGGCTGCCAGGTCCATT